AAAAATTTTAAAATTCTTTTTCATTTCTTTTACACATTTATTCTAAAAAAAAATAAATTGAAGTGCTTTAATTTTCCAATTACTTTAATTTTTTCACATCATATTTTAACTTAAAAAATTTACTAAAAAAATCACTTGCCAAAGGAAAATTGAAAGATGGGAAGATAAGATTAATGGTACCAAGTCATTGGTTTAACCATTAATCTAATCAAGGAGAGGGTGTGAGTTCTCCATGGTGTTAATCTAACAATTAATCACTAACTTTTGCAAATAAATAAATTAAAGCAAAAAAAACAATTAAAAAAATTAAAATTAAAGCAAAAGCAAAATAAATAAGGAGAGGGGGAAGGGAATGAGTGTAAAAATGGTCTGCTGGCCCGATATTCGACACAACCCGACCCCCCAGTCTAGGGCTTGGTCCATGCTTTTTTGGGCTTGACCTAGCCTGAACAGCCCAACTTGAGGCCCAAACCGTCTGACGCCCAACATCACTTGCAAGCTAAGCCCAAGACCAAGTCCAAACCCAGGCCCGAGGTCTGATTAACCCTAGGATTGGACTTGGGCCTAGGCCTAAATTTTTTTGAACTGGACTGGCCCCGATCTGACCCTAATTTTTAGCAAGAGCCTGAGCAGGACCAAGCTAGACAGGCCAAGCCAGGCCGATTTTACACCCCTAGCAAAGGGTCGTTATCTGTATATCTATTTCTAAGAAGCTTTTGATTACACCATATAAATATCTCTTTCAATTTATACATAAAAGTCATTCTTTATAAGGTACAACTATGTAATGTATAAAAAAAATTAACTATCATCGTCTTTTTTTTATTGAAATAACGCAATAGTGAAATATATATATATATATATATTAATCCACGATATCTCATGTTAGTTGTCCACTTCTAAATTCTCTTCTTTCTCTTTATCTTTTCTACATGACAGTCTGAAAGGGCTATGAATAACAAGAGACATCACATGCAAATGTTGTTAGGGTAATGCTAAAATATGTAAACCATATGCGCTTTTGTTATATATTTTTATGATAAATATTATATATTTTTTGCCTCAAAGTGGCCAAAAATAAAATGGGGTTTAAAAAGCACCAAATGGGCTTAAAGAGCACCAGAGTGATGCTGTTTGGCCCCATAACAAATTCGATTGTGCTCAGCAGGTACCCCTTCTTCCTAAAAGTTTGGAAGATTCTATTCTATGAGGTATACCCCTTCTTCACATTCTGATTGTCATCATCAGGTAATCAAAAGAAAGCGCCCAAGTCTTAGGGCCGGTCAAAATGGGGTGTCCACAATATTATGTGATTTTTTTTCCCCGTGACTAATTTTTACAACTATTTATAAAATTGAAATATGTTGTACGATTAATTTTTTTAAACTAGTTTTAAAGTTTGAAACGTAAACTGTTTGGTTGAATTTTTAAATTTTGTCTTTTATTTTTTTTAAAAAAAATTAAAAGTAGCTTGATAAAAAAAATATCTTTTTCATTTTCATATGATTCTATTTTTGTTTTTAATTAAAATAATATTTGTATGTTTGAATAATATTTTTATATTAATTGTATAATTTGAGTTAATATTTTTATTAGTCTCTACGTTTTTTCTTCACAGATAAAATAATATTTTTTATTTAAAAATTAATTTTAAAAAAATAATATAAAATATTAGAAATATTTTTGTAATATCTTTTTCATTTATAAATAACTCAGATGTATATATATTTTTTAAAGTACTTTGTAGGGTGCAAGTCTATTATGTGTGGGGGTACATGTTCATTATGTGTAGGTGCAAGTTTAGTATGTGTGGTGTCCAAGTTAAACATATGTAGTGGTGCAAGTCTAGTCTGTGTTAGCATGCAAGTCGAATCTACGTAAGGGTGCAAATTTAGTCTATGTGGTATGCAAGTCAAATCTTTGTAGTTGCGCAAGTCTAGTCTGTGTTGGCGTGCAAGTCAAATCTATATGGGAGTACAAGCTTAGTCTGTGTAGGGTGCAATTAAATCTATGAAGGGTGCAAGTTGAATTTGTGTAAGGGTGCAAATCTAATTTGTGTGGAGTGCATGTTTAAGCCTCGTTTGGGAACAGGCTTTTTTAGTAATTTTTGACTTTTTGGCTAAAATATGACATAAAAAAAACTAGAATGTTTGGGATGAGTTTTTGGTTTTTTTATGAAAAGATGTGCAATAAATAGAGAGGAAAATGAAATCTTTGACTTTTTGGTATAAGTTGTTGATTTTTTGATTTTTTTTGTGACTTTTTGACTAAAATCACCATTTGCCAAACGAGACCTTAGTCTATGTAGGGATGCATATTCAGTATGCGTAGGGTGTGCAAGTCAAATCTGTAGTGCAAGTCTAGTCTGTGTTGGTGTGTATGTTGAATCTGTGTGGACTTTAGTCTATGTAGGGATGCATATTCAGTATGCGTAGGGTGTGCAAGTCAAATCTGTGTAGTAGTGCAAGTATAGTCTGTGTTGGCGTTTATGTTGAATCTGTGTGGAGGTGAAAGTTTAGTTAGTGTGAAGTGCAAGTTTAATTTGTGAGGGGTGCAAGTTGAATCTGTGTAGCGATGCAAGTCTAATCTATGTAGGACACGAGTTTAATCTATGTAGAGTGTGGGGTGTAAGTCTAATATGCGTAGGGATACAAGTCTAGTCTATGTGAAGTGTAAGTTTAGTTTGTGTGGGTGTAAGTCTTACTTTGTGTGTGGGATCAAACATGGCCACTATTTTTTTTATTATATTATTATTTTGGTTTGAGTTATTATTTGCGTGGTTTGAATTAATATATTTTTATTTACAATTGTATTATTCTAAACGTTTTCTCCTACCTATATATATATATATATTAATTAGAAAAGTAATTTATTATTTATATTAACTTAAGTCATACAAATTATTTTAATTCTATAAATTTTTATATATTTTAGATTATTAATTTAAATTTTTATGAAATATGTGAAATATTAGTTGCATTTTAAAATTTTAAATATATTTTTAGAACAATATCAATTTTATAAAAATAGAATTTGTATATTAAATATTAGATATATTTTAATAAAATAAAATAAATTTAAAAATATAAAGATAATTTTTTTTTTATTAAAAGAATGAAGTGAGTGTATGAGTGCTGGGATAGAACTAGGAGAAGATTATGAGGGGTCATGACCCTTCTGTCTCTGTGAAAATTTTATTTTCCGTAGTACTTCTAAATATATATATATATATATGTATTATTTTATAAATAAAATAGCATCTTAGTATAAAAGATATATACTTCATTCCTTTCTCATCTTTTATTCTCTGTTATTTTTCTAGAAAAAAATTTATTCATTCTATTAGAGATTGTTTATATGATATTTAAATTTTTTTATGTGTATATATATAATTTATATATCATATTACACATATATGTGTATTTGTCTATACAGTAAAAAAATATTATTTATCTTTTAACCCATGTAGTAATAAAATCCTAATTTCATCTCTGTATAAGAGAGAGAGAGAGAGAGAGAAAGAGAGAGAGTATGTGCAAGGCATAGTTAAGGGTAAAATCCGTTTAGTTTAATTTTATAATTATGATTTAAATGTGAAATAGTGATTTTAAGTGTGGAGTTGTGAGTTCAGTTTTTAAGGAATAAAAATTTATTTGATTATGAGTTTTGAAAATATTTTTGAGTTTTTGAATTTTGAAAAGAATTTTTAGTTTTAAGGGTAAAATCCGTTTAGTTTAATTTTATAATTATGATTTAAATGTGAAATAGTGATTTTAAGTGTGGAGTTGTGAGTTCAGTTTTTAAAAAATAAAAATTTATTTGGTTATGAGTTTTGAAAATATTTTTGAGTTTTTTTGAATTTTGAATTTTGAAAAGAATTTTGAGTTTTGAAAAGAGTTTTAAGTTGTATTTTGAAATTTTTCGAATTTATTTCTTTTAAATATTTAAAAACGTTTAAGAAAAAATTATTTTTCATTTTAAATATTTTATTTCATTTTTGTAAATTTTTTAAATTCAGAACACAACTCCACACTCAAATCATAAGCAAACAAGGAGAGGAGAGAGCGAAACAGAGAGAGAGAGGGAGAAAGAGAGAGGAGAGGAGAGAGCGAAATAGAGAGAGAGAGGGAGAGAAGAGAGAAGATCGGCTTATCGCAGCTCTCCGTCGTAGCTCGGTCGAGAAAGAGGAGGGGAAGAGGGAATGGAGAGAGAGAGAGAGGCCCTTCCATTCTGTCGATCGTCGTAGCTCGTCGCAGATCACCCAGCCGATCATCGCAGCTCGTCCGCCTCTGCCTCCGCTCGGCCGCCGTTGCCTCCGCTCGGCCGCCTCTGCCTCTTTCTTCTTCTTCTTCTTATTCTTCTTCTTCTTCTTTTCTAATTGAACAAAAAAAAAAAAAAATCAAAGCGACGAAACGACGTCGTTTTTGAATTTGGGGGATTCGGGGGCCTCTATTTCGAGGTACCAATCACTTCTGTTTTTTAAATTCAAAACACAACTGCACACTCAAATCATAAACAAACACATAACTCCAAACTCAATTCAAAAACTATTTTTAAAACTCATAACTAAACACATAACTCAAAACTCAAAACTCAATTCAAAAACTTTTTAATCAAAATATTTTTTTTATTTTTTTATTTTATTGAAAAATAATTTTATATGGCCATCTAAAATTTTTTGAAATTAAAAAAAAAATTTAAATAATTTTAAAAATAAATCAAGATTTTAAAACATAAAATAAAAAAATATTTTTTAAAATTTTTCTTTAAATAAAATTTTAAAAAGAATTTAGTTATGAGTTTTAAAAATAATTTTAAATTAAATTTTGAGTTAGGTGTTTAGTTGCACATTTGCAAAAGAATTTTGAATTTTTTTTATTCGAATTACAATTTTAAAAGAGTTTAGTTTTTAGAATTTTTATTAGAATTTTGAGGGTAGGGTTTGGTTACTAGCCAACAACGGCTATATTCACCACCGCCAATAAACCAAACAGAGCCAACAAACCAAACAGAGCCCAACGGCTCTTTATTACACTGAGGCATCACCGTCTGCCTCCATACATGTAGAATGATCTATCCTCATCCTCTCCCTCTACCTCTCACTCCTCAAACCCTTCTCCGTTCTCTCCTCCATGATCGAAACATCTCTCACTCTCTCAGTCTGTCTCCCTCTCACTCTCTCACTCTCTAACTCTATCTCCCTCATCTGAAACCACTCCCCCTTCTCCTCTATGGTTGTTGATGTGGATCGCCTCTATGATCGAAACCTCTCTCACTCTCTAAGTCTGTCTCCCTCTCATTCACTCACTCTCCCACTCTGTCTCCATTTTCTGAAATCACACCCCATTCTCCTCCATCATCGAAACCCCTCTCTGACCCTCTCACTCTCTCACACTCGGTCTCCTTCTCAGTCTCTCACTGTGTGATGTGGATCGAAACCCCCCTTTTGGTTGTTGATGTGGATCGGTGATCGTGGTTGCTGATGTGGATCGGTGATCGTGGTTGTTGATGTAGATCGGTGATCGTAATCGGTGATCGAAACCCCTCCATGGTATTTTTTTTTTCCAAATTTTCTTAATTATTTTTTGTGATTGATTTTTGTTCATCTGATTTTCATATCATATCTGTCTTCATATCTGTCTCAATTTCATCCATATCTTCATTCATATCTTCATATCTGTCGCTGTCACAATTTCATCAATATCTGTCTCAATTTCTTCATATCTGTCTCAATTATCTTAATGTTCATATCTGAATTTCTTCATATCTGTCTTCGTATTTGACTGAGATTTGGTGATAAATGAATTAAAAAAAATAAAATAAAATAAAATTTGAGAAACTGAATTTGGGTTTGTCTCAATTTCATTCTGAAATTTGTTTTCATCTCAAAATTGGGTTTGATTTTGAAAAATGGGTTCCCTACTGTTTAAATTCTTTTGTATTCAACTGAATTTGGTGCCAAATTGCTGTTCATTTTTGCTGATTTGGCAAGCTTGGCAGCTGCTGTTTCACTTGCCATATTTGACAACACATATGGCATCTGTCTGCCTCTCTCTCTGTCTCTCCTTTGCGGTGTTAAAGTGATTCAAGAAGCAGGCATGTTGGGTTGTTATTGTTTTCTGTAATTGGGGCCTTTTCACTTTCTTGTTTTTAATTAGCTTTTCAGGGGTTAGAAATCTATGGTGATTGAAACTTATTGACACAGTTTGTTGCAAACTGAATCCATTATCAAGAACTGTTTCTATTTATATTTCTATTTCAATCTTTTTCTTCCAAAATCGTTTCTTCGAAACTGCAGATATTGAATTTTCAGATTTCTTTCTTTATGCATACACAACTTTTGTCACTTTCTCTTTTATTGTTACAATCTTGTTCATGTATAAATATCGATATGTTTCTTCTGGAATATGACATCAATTTTAGATACCCTTTTCTATTTCTGATTATGTTTGGCTGAACTTTGTTTGGATGATGAATTTGTGGAGGGAAATATATATATATATATATAACTTTTACCATTGCTTTTCTTGTTTCCTGTACAAATTTCTGCGTGAATTCAAGATTCAAACACAGCAGACCATGAATTATATTTTCATATTTATTCGCATTCATAAATCATGTTTGATAACTTTTGGGAATCATAGTGTTTGTACTTGTGAAATTCAGTTTGCTTTTATTTGGAATTTTTTTACTGGAAAAAAATTGTGTTGTGACAAACTTAATGGAGGAACCCAATTTGTCAAACTTGATTAAGGCATTATTATAAGTTGTATAAAGATCCCTAGGGAAAATCTAAAAAAGGCTCTGTTTTCGTCCAAAGGAGAAAATAGTCATTTTAGAAAAGATGAATCGTGGGTTACTCCATTTGGTGCACTTTAGTAGAAACTGCATTGTTTGACTTCCATTGGTCCCTTAAAGTATAAGTTAACTTTTTATAATGAAAATTTTGCATTAGGCAGCAATTTGCAACAGCATTGAGTGCCACATTGGAGCTAAATATAACAGTATTTAGTGTTGGGCATGTTTTGTGAAGCTTTTTACGAGTTGAAAGTTATTATTAAAAAAATTAAGCTAAAAATACCCATGTCCCAACTTCCCAATAAACAATTTTTTTTATAGCTTTTTTTGTCACATAAACTATAACCAGATGCTGTAACAAACATACTCTGACACAAATTTCTAAAATAAAAAAAACTATAAGAAGCATCAATAAATTGCACCAAGAATGGGCATGGCCGTTGTACCCCAGTTCACTACATGGGAGATTGGTGTCATGTAGTTGGTGAGCCAATTTTCTACCTTTGCTAAGGAAACATAAAATAATTGAGAAAAAAATTATTATGCTGAATGGTGGGAGATACATGATATATCTAATGGTTGTAAGTTATGTCCAGTTATTTTGAATTGATCATTGCAGAATGTCTTTGAAATGGGATAATGTTAAAGTGGGACAACCTTAGGATCATGAGATGTGTAAGGCTTGCACAAAGATGATGATTGTTATCTCTTTCTGATATATTTTTTTATCTCTTTTGTTTCTTCCAAATAATGACCTTTTTTGGTCAGGAAATAATATCTTTTGAATTGTGAAAGATGATTTTAAATGATTATAATACCTTTCTATGCATAAGTTGTTGACTTTCTATTTTCTATTTTTATTTTTTTTTGCTTCAGATAGATTCACTCAGTTAGGCAAGTTTTTCTTGTTTGGACCTTCAAACAATGTACCCTGGTGGTTATACTGCAGAAGTAACAAACCTATCTCCTAGAGCGACGGAGAAGGTTGTTTATGAGTTCTTTGCTTACTGTGGTGAAGTTGAACATGTGGAGATCATCAGGTAGTTCTCAACTACTCTGTTTCTGGTTGCTGGATTTGAATCTGCTGTGTAGTTCTTACTGTAATTTGATCTTCTTTCCTTTTTCAAACTTTTTGGAAATTAGTTCTTTTCATGAAAGGTCAAATTTTTGATATTATTGATGTTTAGTTGTCCATTCAAAATTTTATGCTTATTGGGTAATAAATTCATTCATAATTAATGTCTCCGAAATATTCCTTTTACAAGTAGAAGCATGTGGATAAAGTTGAAGATATTACTTGGCTTATCAAACCAAATCTTATGGTACCAATATGTATCTCAAATCAAACGATTCTGGTGCGATTCCTATTTCCTTGTGCGCTTCTAGCTTCCAACTTATATTTACTATTCTTGTATAGGTATTTTTATCACCACAACGAAATAATTGTTGTATTTTGTGTCATATAAATTAAGTTCTGCCCTCAAAGTTGTCTTTTATGGAGCCGTGTGTGACTTTAATTTGATTATCCACTTTTCCCATTCTGAATTATAAAATCCAGTAAACATATTTTGTTGTTGGTAAGCAATATTGATTATCCTTGGACCCTTCCGAGGTGTTTGGGGCATTTTCCGGTCCTTCTCGTGACTGTTACCGGTTTTGGCCCGCCCCCGGTGGTCCTATTTCCAAGCTTAAGTGTCAAAAAAGTGTCTCTTTCTAACTAAGTTTTCAAACTGGGAGTCCCGTTCTTGTTCCGTAATTTTCACAACTCGCGTTGGTCACTCCCAATGTGTTTGAGGTGTTCCCGGCCCTTCTTGCGACTGTTACATGATTTTGGCCTCCTGATGGCCTACTTCCAAGTTTAAGTATTAGAAAAGTGTATTTTCCGACCTAGTTTTCAAATCGGGAGTCCCGTGCCTCTTCGTTAAGTTTTCACAACTCAAATTAGTCCCTCCTGAGATGTTCGAGGTGTTCCCCGGGCCTTCTCGTGACTGTTACATGATTTTTCGGCCCGTCGAGGCCTATTCTCAAGCTTAAGTGTGAAAATAGTACCTTTTCCCACCTCGTTTTCAAACCGGAAGTCCCGCGCTAGTTCGGTAAGTTTCCACAACTTACATTGGTTTCTCCCGAGGTGTTCCATGGGCCTTCTCGGTACTGTTACAGGATTTTAGGGGGACCCCGATGGCCTATTTTCAAACTTAAGTGTTTAGGAAGTGCATTTTTTGACTTAGTTTTCAAACCGGGGGTCCCATGCGAGTTCCGTAACTTTTCACAACTCGCGTTGGTCCCTCCCTAGGTGTTTAACGCGGTGTTCCCCGGACCTTCTCTTGGCTGTCACACGATTTTGGCCCCTCGATGGACTATTTTCAAGCTAAGGTGCGAGAAAAGTGCCGTTTTGGACTTGGTTTTCCAACCCGGAGTCCCGTGCGAGTTCCGTAAGTTTTCACAACTTATATTGGTCCCCTTGGACCCTCCCGAGGTGTTTGGGGCATTTCCCGGTCATTCTCGTGACTGTTACACGGTTTTGGCCACGCCGGTGTTCCTATTTCGAAGCTTAAGTGTGGAAAAAGTGTCTCTTTCCAACTTAGTTTTCAAACCGGGAGTCTCGTGCTAGTTCCGTAAGTTTTCACAACTCACGTTGGTCACTCCCGAGGTGTGTGAGGTGTTCCCGGCCCTTCTTGCGACTGTTACATGATTTTGGTCCCCTGATGGCCTACTTCCAAGCTTAAGTGTTAGAAAAGTGTATTTTCCGACCTAGTTTTCAAATCGGGAGTCCCGTGCCTCTTCATTAAGTTTTCACCACCGAAATTGGTCCCTCCTGAGATGTTTGAGATGTTCCCCAGGCCTTCTCGTGATTGTTACACGATTTCGGCCCGTCGAGGCCTATTCTCAAGCTTAAGTGTGAAAATAGTACCTTTTCCCACCTCGTTTTCAAACCGGAAGTCCCGCGCTAGTTCGGTAAGTTTTCACAACTTACATTGGTTTCTCTCGAGGTGTTGGAGGGTTCCACGGGCCTTCTCGGGACTGTTACAGGATTTTAGGATTTCTCGAAGGCCTATTTTCAAACTTAAGTGTTTAGGAAATGCATTTTCTTACTTAGTTTTCAAACCGGGAGTCCCATGCGAGTTCCGTAAGTTTCCACAACTCGCGTTGGTCCCTCCCTAGGGGTTTAAAGCAGTGTTCCCCAGACATTCTCTTGACTGTCACCCGATTTTGGCCCCCCGATAGACTATTTTCGTGCTTAGGTTTGAGAAAAGTACCGTTTCAGACTTAGTTTTCAAACCGGGAGCCCCGTGCTAGTTCTGTAAGTTTTCACAACTTACATTGGTCCCTCCCGGGGTGTTCGACGTGTTACACGATTTTGGTCCTCGACGGCTTATTTTCGAGCTTAAGTGTGAAAAAAGTGCATTTTTTGATTTAGTTCTCAAACCGAGAGTCTCGTGCTAGTTCTGTAAGTCTCCGCAACTTACCTTGGACCCTCTCGAGGTGTTTGGGGCATTTCCCGATCCTTCTTGTGATTGTTACATGGTTTTGGCGTGGTACTATTTCCAAGCGTAAGTGTGAAAAAAGTGTCTCTTTCCAACTTAGTTTTCAAACCAGGAGTTCCGTGCTAGTTCCGTAAGTTTTCACTACTCGCGTTGGTCACTCCCGAAGAGTTTGAGGTGTTCCCGACCTTTCTTGCGATTGTTACATGATTTTCGCCCCCTGATGGCCTACTTCCAAGCTTAAGTGTTAGAAAAGTGTATTTTCCGACCTAGTTTTCAAATCCGGGAAGTCCCGTGCTCTTCGCTAATTTTCACAAACTCAAATTGGTCCCTCTTGAGATGTTCGAGTGTTCCCTGGCCTTCTCTGACTGTTACACGATTTTGGCCCCGAGCTATTCTCAAGCTAAGTGTGAAAATAGTACCTTTTCCCATCTCGTTTTCAAACCGGAAGTCCCGCGCTAGTTCGGTAAGTTTCCACAACTTACATTGGTTTCTCTCGAGTGTTAAAGGTGTTCCACGGCTTCTCGGGACTTTACAGGATTTTGGGGCCCCCGATGGCCTATTTCCAAACTTAAGTGTTTAGGAAGTGCATTTCTTACTTAGTTTCAAACCAGGAGTCTCATGCGGAGTTCCTAAGTTTCCACAACTCGCGTTGGTCCCTCCTAGGTGTTTAAAGCAGTGTTCCCGGACCTTCTCTCTTGACTGTCACCCGATTTTGGCCCCCATGACTATTTCGTGCTTAGGTTTGAGAAAAGTACGCGTTCGGACTTAGTTTTAAAACCGGGAGCCCCGCTGTAAGTTTTCACAACTTACATTGGTCCCTCCCGGGGTGTTCGACGTGTTCCCCGGGCCTTCTGTGACTTACACGATTTGGCCCCCGACGGCTTATTTTGAGCTTAAGTGTGAAAAAAGTGCATTTTTGATTTAGTTCTCAAACGAGAGTCCCGTGCTAGTTCCGAAGTCTCGCAACTTAGCTTGGACCCTCCAGGTGTTTGGGCATTTCCGGTCATTCTCGTGACTGTTACACGGTTTTGCCACGCGGTGTTCCTATCGAAGCTTAAGTGTGGAAAAAGTGTCTCTTTCTAACTTAGTTTTCAAACCGGAGTCCCTGCTAGTTCCGTAAGTTTTCATACTCGCGTTGGTCACTCCGAGGTGTTTAAGGTGTTCCCGGCCCTTCTTGCGACTGTTACATGATTTTGGCACCCCGATGGCCTACTTCCAAGCTTAAGTGCTAAAAAATGTATTTTTCACCTAGTTTTCAAATCGGGAGTCTCGTGCCTGTTCGTTAAGTTTTCACAACTCAAATTGGTCCCTCCTGAGATGTTCGAGGCGTTCCCCGCCTTCTCTGACTGTTACACGATTCGGCCGCCGAGGACTATTCTCAAACTAAAGTGTGAAAATAGAACTTTTCCGACCTAGTTTTCAAACCCTGAGTCCCGCGCTAGTTCCATAAGTTTCCCCAACTTACATCGGTTTCTCCCGAGGTGTTGAGGTGTTCCACGGCCTTCTCGGGACTGTTACAGGATTTTGGGGCCCCCGATGGCCTATTTTCAAACTTAAGTGTTGGAAGTACATTTTTTGACTTAGTTTTCAAAACCAGGATTCCCATGCGAGTTCCTGAAGTTCACAAGTCGCGTTGATCCTCCCTAGGGTTTGCGTGTTCCCCGACCTTCTCTTGACTGTCACATATTTAGCCTCCCGATGGACTATTTTCAAGCTTAGGTGCAAGAAAAGTGCGCTTCGGACTTAGTTTTCAAACCGAGAGTCCGTGCTTGTTCCGTAATTCACAACTTATATTGGTCCCTCCAGGGTGTTTGACGTGTTCCGCGGCTTCTCGTGACTGTTACACGATTTGTGCCCCCGACGGCTTATTTTCGAGCTTAAGTGTGAAAAAAGTGCATTTTTTGATTTAGTTCTCAAACGAGAGTCCCGTGCTAGTTCGTAAGTCTCCGAAACTTACCTTGGACCCTCCCAGGTGTTTGGGGCATTCCCGACTATCGTGACTGTTACACGGTTTTGGCACCCCGGTGTCCTATTTCCAAGCTTAGTGTGAAAGTGTCTCTTTCCAACTTAGTTTTCAAACCAGGAGTCCCGTGCTAGTTCCGTAAGTTTCACAACTCGCGTTGGTCACTCCGAGGTGCTTAAGGTGTTCCCCTTCTTGCGACTGTTACATGATTTTGCACCCCGATGGCCTACTTCTAAGCTTAAGTGTTAGAAAAGGTATTTTCCGACCTAGTTTTAAATCGGGAGTCTCGTGCCTGTTCGTTAAGTTTTCACAACTCAAATTGGTCCTTCTGAATATGTCTCAAGCTAAGTGTGAAATAGTACTTTTCCCACTCGTTTTCGAACCAGAAGTCCGCGCTAGTTCCGTAAGTTTTCACAACTTACATTGGTTTTCTCCAAGGTGTTGGAGGTGTTCCGGGCCTTTCGAGACTGTTAGAGGATTTTGGGAGGCCCCTATGCACTTTTCAAACTTAAGTGCTTAGGAAGTGCATTTTTTGACTTAGTTTCAAATCGGGGTCCATGCGAGTTCCATAACTTTCAACAACTCGCGTTGGTTCCTCCTTAGGTGTTTAAAGCGGTGTTCCCCGGACCTTCTCTTGACTGTCCACGATTTTGGCCCCCGATGGACTATTTTCAAGCTAAGGTGCGAAAAAGTGCGTTTTTGGACTTGTTTTCCAACCGGGAGTCCGTGCGAGTTCCGTAAGTTTTCACAACTTAACATTGGTCCCGCCCGGGGTGTTCGACGTGTTCCCCGGGCCTTCTCGTGACTGTTACACGATTTTGGCCCCCGACGACTTATTTTCGAGCTTAAGTGTGAAAAAAGTGATTTTTTCATTTAGTTCTCAATCAAG